GGCCTAACAAGGCCTCAGAAATGGGGGTTAGAACGGACTCTGCAAGATGAGCAAAGAATTAGTTCAACAGGTTAGTACAGCCCTCAGGTGTGTCCCGCAGAAACCCCGAGGGGATCTACACAGGGAGACAGGCCACAGCTGAGGGGTCAGAATGAAATGGCCCCAGAAACCACTGCACACTCAGTCCCTGGGCAAAGGGAACAGTGGCACTGGTGAGGCCAGGCAAAAAGAGCAACCTCCACCCCTAGCCCCTCAGGACCATCAGAGGGGCCAGGGAAGCCAGCAAGAGCCCGGCAGCTGCCCCTTTCCTCTGGCCAGTGGAGAGCCCAAACCAAGAGCAGGCTTTTCCATATACAAAGGGGTTTGTGACCGCACCATTTGTAATCACAGAGTGCTGGCACTGGCCCTCATTGCCCCATGGTGGCAGTGATAGGTCCACACCCTGATTGGTGTGCCCTCAATCAGAAAGGTAGGCCATTTCAGGATGAGTAACTGGGTCCCCAACATATGCCTCCTACCTGAGGTAGAAAAAAGCAAACAAACAAACAAAAAAACCCCCAAAAATCTTACCAATCATGACTGTAAAACAAACACACTTACAGAAAGAAGTTAGTTACAGCTACAAAATTCAAGTTGAAAATAACCCCTGCAGGTATTTTAGTCCAATATAATGAGTCCTCTGTGTGTGTCCACGTGTGGGTGTTATGCATGTGCGTGCATGAGTGTGCGTGAGCAGGTGCCAATTTATACCACCAACGCCAGATGCGGTGACCTCCAAACAGAAAGCACTCCACAGGGGACATCTTTTGTGTTGCTGGGAGTCTTGATGGACCAATAATGCTGTGTCAGAACACAGGGAGCAAATGAGAAAGCCCCCTCGGGAAGAGGCGCGACCAGAGGAGGTGGAGGGCGCAGCCGCACATCCCTTACACAAGCAGATGGCGGAAATGGAATTTGATCCAAAAACTGATCCAGAGTGGACTGTGACAGAGAATACCTTCTCAACTGCCACAGAACATTTATAAAACTTATCATATCTTAAGCAATGAAGAAAAGAAGCCATGTTTAAAGCAGAAGAAACTGTACAGGCTGCTTCCTCCAATAACCAGTCATTAAGCAGAAATGGACTATAATGTGAAAAACCCAAAATTACCAAACACTTGGAGATTTAAAGTATGCACTTAATAAGGCCAAGCTCACATCAGCACTGATACCAAACACAGGCACAAGAACAACAAAATATCTTACTAAATACAGAGGAGAAGCCGTGGGTTTACCTGGATCTCATAGGGGGCACAGGCTGAGGGTTGGCCAGCCCCAGTCCACCTCACCTTGCACTCCTCTGGCTCCAGCGAGCCCCTCACAGCTCACCGGCTTACTCAGGCTCTGCTCTCAGCCTGAAATACTCTTCCTTCCAGCGAGGGTCCAAGGGCTGCCGTGGGGAGGGCTCTGTTCTCGTTCTTGGCTGGATTGACCCAGGGGTGCTCTACCACTGAGCTATACCTCTAGCTTCTTTTTAATTTTACAAGTTGCTGAGGCTGGCCTCAAATTGATTATCCTTCTGCCTCAGCCTCCCAAGTAGCTGGGATGATAGGCCTGTGACAATGTCCTGGCTGCTGTTCACTCCTGGTTTGTGTGATCAACATCTGAGCCTAGGCACCATGAGAACAGGCACCAGCCCAGTGTAGCCAGGAAGGACACAGATGGAGTGACCATTTAAAGATGAAACTGGGGACTGGGGTTGTGGCTCAGTGGTAGAGCGCTCGCCTAGCATGCATGAGGCACTGGGTTCGATCCTCAGCACCACATAAATGTAAAATAAAGATATTGTGTCCACTTAAACCTTAAAAATAAATATTAAAAAAAAAATAAAGATGAAACTGGTCTGAGGCAACTACAGTTGGCTGTTCCTTTGCTGGGTGCTCTGCATGCCTTCGAAGGCCTGCCACCCAGAGGACACCTTATATGCCCTGGGTGGCTTCAGCAGTTCCCTCAGGATGCTTCACGCTCTAGACAGGGGCCCTGACTGCCACCATGGGACTGAGGGTGTGGTGGGCTGATGCAAGGCTGCCTATACCACAAACTCCACTACCAGCCTTTACTCCCCTCTGGCACTGTCACAAGCCTGGATATGACAAACCAAGCTGCCAACACTACCAAAGAAAAGCAGAGCTGCAGAGCTGCTTGTTTTATCTAAAGCAGCTTTTTCAAAAAGGCCAATAAAATAGAGTTCTTGAAAGTCTATTCCAGACCAAAAACAAACAAACTAACAAAAACTAGGCATAAAAAAGTTGAAAAAGCTATTCCTGAGGAGAATATTAAAGTAGAAAAAGATACTCTGCACTAACATACATGAAAAAGGCGATTTTTGGGCTGGGGATGTGGCTCAAGCGGTAGCGCGCTCGCCTGGCGTGTGTGCGGCCTGGGTTCGATCCTCAGCACCATATACAAACAAAGATGCTGTGTCTGCCGATAACTGAAAAACAAATATTAAAAAAAATAATAAAAAAAATAAAATAAAAAATTTAAAAAAAGAAAAAAGGCGATTTTCTTGGAAAACAAAACTTGAGAAATTGACTTGTGATGAAATAGAAATACTGAGTAGCCCAAGAGCCCTAGAACTACTTTCAGAGAGCCACTGAACCTCCACAGTGTTGGCCACTGTTCCCGGACACTGCAGGGTGTGGACTGCAGGGAAGGCTGGGGACCTGCCACAGAGACAGAGATAGCTGCTGCCTCCGCCGCTCAAGCAGGGTATCTACATCACACAATTCAGCCTCATACAGACCTAGCTGCTATTCTTCTCCCCACCTCATCACTGAGGAAACCTTCACGAATAAGAAATTCAGATGGACCCAGCTACTCAGGAGGCTGAGGCAGGAAGAAGGCTTCAGCCCAGGAGTCAGGGAACAGCTTGGGCAAAGTTAGCAAGACTTTATCCCTTAAAACAAAAGGATTTAGCCCAAGTCCTGTGCTACTAAATGGCAAAGAAACCTAGTTGCTTGGCCAAAACCTGAGTTTGTAGATGCTGCTCTTAGGACTATCTCTCTGGATGTCCTGATCCCAAAGCCTGCTCAACAGCAGCCTGAAGTCCAAGGGGACCTTGTAATTCATTATAAACCTCCAGGTCCAGGAGTGGCTTGGATCGAAAGTCACAGGAGGGCTTATTATTCCATTAGTATTAATGAAATCATTAATAGTTCATTAGTTGAATTAAAATCATTGGAGGATGAAAGAAAAACCCTTTATCTCAAAAGATTCAGGGAAGGCTTTTGAATAAATTCAATATTTCTTATGATTTAAAAACAAATAAAAAACTCCAGAGCAATCTAGAAAACAAATAGATACCTTGTCCCGTAATCCAGCAAGAGTGCAGGTGACATCGGTGACATCAGAGACGAAGGACACACCTGAGCAGTACTTCTCTTCCATCCTGTTTAAGGATCACCACAGAATGGGACAAAGTATTTGCAAGTCATGTATCTGATGAGGGTCTAGAATCCAGAGTTAATAAAGAGCTCTTATAATTCAATGATAAAATGACAAACACCTAATTAGAAGGTGGGCCAAGGCTCAGCACAGACACTTCTCCAGAGAACATATGCACATGCTAACAGCACATGAAAGGTGCTTGATATTGTCTATTATCAGAAAAATGCAAATCAAAATTACATAATACCATTTCATGCCCATTACGATGGTTATATTTAAAGAGTCAATAACCTGTGTTGATGGGAATGTGGGGAATGGAACTCTCACACGACTGCTGCCAACGCAAAGCAGTGCAGTGGCCCTGGAAAGCAGCTTGGCAGTGCCTCAAAATTACACACAGGGTTACTCTGTGACCCAGCAATCCCACTCCTACCTGTGTACCAAGGAGAGTTGAAATCACATGTTTACATAGAAACTTTACACAAACGTTCGCAGTAGCACTGTTCATAATGGTCAAAAGAAGAAACCGTCCAAAGTCCAATGGAAAAACACAATGCAGTTATCAATAATGGAGTATCCTTCAGCTATGAAGAGGAAATTAGTCCTGTTACATGCTACAGGCGTGACCAACCTTGAAAATATCATGCTACGTGAAATAATCAGATACAGAAAGATAAACAATGCATGATTCCACTTACATGAGGTTCCTAGAACAGGCAAATTCTTAGAGACAAGGTAGCACAAAGACGACCAGGGCCTGGGGCAGCAGGGTGTGGAGCTTCCGCCTGGGCTAAGGAGGTCTATAGCTGCACAACCTAGGGAGTGAGCAGACCAAGACCCACCAACGGGGCACTTGAGGGGCATGAGCTCTATGGTAATGTAGATTATACCCTGATTTTTAGAAGGGAAAACAAAATTTATTTGAAAAGGAAACTTTATATTAACATCATAAACAAAAAGGTATATTAACATAAATGTATAAACATTAACATGTGAACTATGAGCAGATGGCAACTCATTTGTGGACCAACAAGACAATCACCCTCTGGGCTATACGAAACAGGCCAAGGGGGCTCATATGCAGGCAACTTCATTCTTAAATGGAAAATCTTAATATCAAAATATGTTTATAGGGGGTTGAGGTTGTGGCTCAGTGGTAGAGCGCTTGCCTAGCATGTGTAAGGCACTGGGTTCGATTCTTAGCACCACATATAAGAAAATAAATAAAAGTCCATCAATAACTAAATCAAGTGAAGAAAATTAGTGAAACACTGGTCTGCTACAGGGAAAGGCAGCTGTAGTGGAACAGACTTGAAAGTCCAGAAACAGACTTAATTGTATTAATTTGCTAATGATTACCAAGCGGCATTTCAAATCAGCAGACAAAGTAGAATTATCAGTAAACAGTGCTGGGGAAATCAGTCATTTTGAAACAACCAAAGTAGGTTCCTACCTCATCCTGTGCTCCAAGCAACTTCCAGATGGATTAGGTTAGTGTCCAAGGGAACCAGAAGAAATATGGCAGAACACAACGTAGGAGACCATTCTCATGAAAATTGAAGAATGTGATTACAAAATTTAACAAATTAGCCAGATCCAACACACAAAATTAAAAGGCAAACCACAAACTCGAGAAACATTTTGTAGTATACAAGGCTAACGGGGTCCCCAACACAGTTCTCGCCCAGCAGTGAAAGCACAGGCCCACACACCAGGTACTCACCGCTTCTCAGAATCAAAAAGTGCAAATTAAAACACAGACATGCGCAGAAGGCCTGGGTTCCACCCCCAGCACCACAACAAAACAGAAAGACAAAATGCTAATGTTATTTCTGCCTTAAAACCAGAGAAGATAAACACAAGGACAGGGTAGGCAGGGGGTTATGGCTGAAACCCTCTGTGGGGCGCTTGGCGAAAACCTCCCAACTGTTCAGACCATCTGGACCTGGGACTGCGCTGCTAAGCAAGAGGCCATCTTCCCTATTTCATCCCCAAGTCAGAAGAAATCCTATCAGAAAAAAAAGAAATCCTATCAGAAATAGAACAGGCTCGACCTTGAAAGGAGGAGAAGCGCTGGCCACGCCAGCCACACGGGGCAGAGGTTCAGAAGGCAAACCCTCCCTGAATGTGACCTTGGGTACAATTTCTGGCTTGGCATAAACATACAGGCATTTTTAGCAGGACAGCGTGAATAGGAGCATTTCAACTGCAAAGACCACTCAAGATATTGACAGTGTTAACAGCACTAGTAACCATTACCCAAAATAAACACGTAAGTGGTCTGTGTGAATTATCAGTAAAGGGTCCCGGAGGCAGACAGACCAAGGCCAATATCACTCACCACAGCTTTCCACATAATAGGAAGGCCGACTAAAGCACTGCGAGTACAGGGAAAGACATACCTTACTCTTGCACAGAAGGAATATCAGGAAGACATCATAGGGAAGGTTCAAGTAATCATGCAAGTCTAGCCAGGAATATTCAGGAAAGTGCAGTAAAGAGACAGGGCCACCCCCACCATATATTAAAGCATAGAGTACAATATTTAAACTTATGTGGAACTGCACATGAATAGATCAATGGCCACCAGCTGTGTCAATCACTAAATGATATGGAGACTAAAGGCTAAGCACTTGGAGTCACTTATTGCCAAAATTAAGTCCAGATAGGTCCGATAAAAATAAAAGAAAAATCTTGTGCAGAAGCCATTAGATGTCTATAAATGAGAGTATACATATTTACAACTTTGGGCAGCAAAATACCATAAAACTCAAATATCAGTGAGAATAGGAAAGTATTTACAGCACAAATGATAAAGGTTTTAATTTCCTTAATATATAGAGAGCTCTTATAAACCAATAAGTATATAATCCAGTAGAAACACAAATAGGAATTACAATTAAATACCAATTTTTAGCAGCACAAACCAAATTTGAGAGCACAGAGTTGGTAAAGTGTGGGGAAGTATCAGCTGGAACCACCTCCCTAGCAGCATTCATCATATCTGGAAAGGACCTGGCCCAGGCCCCAGAATTCCTCCTAGAGAAAACTTTGCCCCAATGATATACTTGCCCATGTACATGAAGGCGCACGGGGCTGGGGATGTGGCTCAAGCGGTAGCACGCTCGCCTGGCATGCGTGTAGCCTGGGTTCGATCCTCAGCACCACATACCAACAAAGATGTTGTGTCCGCCGAGAACTAAAAAATAAATATTTAAAAAAAAAAATTCTCTCCTCTCTCACTCTCTCTTAAAAAAAAAAAAAAATACATGAAGGCGCAGGCAGGTAGGCAGATTCTGTAAAGCTGAGAAACACTCAAAATGCTGGAAACAACCTAGTTGCACCCTAAAAGGGGTGGCCACAGTTCACACGGGTGTTGAAGGACCAAGAGAGAGCCGGTAGACACCCGATTCCAAGTCAGTTTGTGTGCTATGCCTGTCCCTCCACAGCTTTATGTGAACACAGAATTCTCTGGAAGCTTCAGCGATAGGCCACAACAGCTGCCTCTGTGGGGAAGGCGGCCAGACATTAGAAAAAGACATCCCTGTCACCTACAGGGCTTGAAGTTTTAACATGAGCAAGGATTACTTTGAACATCTTCTACACATAGAAGTGAAATAAACTGGAGGAAACCAGCGAGTGTTTGCCTGTGGGGTCAACACAGGAGCAGAGGCGGAGGAAGGGCCTTGTTTTGACACACAGCTGTCACATCGTAGAAGAGCCAGCTGCTAGAGGCTGAGGAGCCCCAGCATCTACTTCTGGAGACGGTAAGGCCGCCAGGCCCAGGCTGCCCGAGAGTGCCCTGCTGTCCGGAGTCCAGTCCCTGTGACCTGTGAGGCGAGGAGAGCCAGAGCGCCTGTGCCCTCTCAGAGGAGAGTGTCCTTAACTCAGAAAGCCGCTGCAGTTGCTGAGCAGAGGCAGGAGTGCCCCGGAAAAGATAAATGACACAATTTGATCCTGCTTTTGGAAAGGTCACAGCCGCTTTCTTAGAACGTCTGGTTTTTGTTTTTAACCTACTTTGAGGCAAGAGCTCCAGGCAGCAGACTCTGGACTTGGTCTGCAAGTTCCGACCCTTCTCACAAAACTGAGGGTCCCAGACCCAGAAGGAGCTGGAGTGGGTGTGAATGCTGGGGCTGCCCGGCCCAGACCCCACGGCCTCCTGCACGCACTGTGCTGGGGAGGCCCAAGCCGGTGCACCCCAAGGAATTCAGAGTGCATCACAGAGCACTGCTTGCAATGGCCAGAAGAAATAACCCTCCGCGCATCTGTGGGAAAGTGGAGAAAGTGTGAGTGTACAATTAGTTTCCAAAGGTCACCGTTCATCCATGACAGATTAAAGAGGGCAACTGGCAGGGTCTTAAAAAAAACAAAAAGGTTTTGTATGCTGAGTGCCAAAGAGGATATGAAAAACAGATACTCTCTTATTCAGGTATGCAAATTTGTATATCTGTTCTGGAGAGGGACAGACCCAGCCAGTGACCCAGAAATTCCATGTTTTATCATGCTGCCCTGAGAAATATTCAGGCATGATGCAAAGGGGTTGTGAAGGTGAGCACGCAGCACTGCTTCTAATACCAAAAGATGGCCAAACAGCTAAATAACTCATAGTATGACCAGGACAAGGAATGTTATGCCATAGCTCAAAAGAATGAGGACAATTCTTTTTGTGCTCGTATGACTCTATGACACTTTGATTGTAAAGGAACAGAAAGGTCTGGAAACCCAGCAAACGGGTAACTGGGAGTGCCAACCTCATGAATCATGTCATGTTTTAATTCTGTAAAACAAGAAGGCATCGCGTATCATTCCTCTAATGACACTTAACAGAAAAGGAGTAACTGTCACCATCAATAGAACAGAGGAACTAACTGTAGAGTCACAAGATGGGCTCTGCCCAGCAAGGAAACCACACGAAACGATATCACACCAAGTGGAACAAGCAAGTGGAAGATGAACTCAGGGTTCAGATGCTGATTGCTCAGCCTGGGGCTGTGAGGAGGACACACGAGGGCAGGAGGAAGCTGCTTTCTTTACCATCCTGGCTCTTGTGTTGGCAGAAGGTTCAGAAATATTGCATTATTAGAAATAATCAAGGAAGCAAATAAGAGAGCCATATCATGTCATGAACCAGAGACTCCGAATAACCCAGTTGTGTGTTCTCAGCTTCAACAAGGGAGACAACGTCCCTGTCTTAGGGAGGAATGCTTACTAGAGTTTAAAACATAACCAACAGTAATAGTCGCTGGGATTTGTTCTATTTTATTGGACATAACAACAAAAAATAGAGCCTAAAATTTCCAAATATGATTCAGATTCAGCCATAAGAGGCTCATGCTGGTCAACCCGGGGCAGAAGGGCAGAGAGAGCTGGAGCTACTCAGTACAAGCTCGTTGTCAATTTTAGCATTATAAATAACTGAAGAGATGGAGCAGAGGGCTCAAGGCGCTGTGTTTGTGCTCAGATACTGAAACGGAAGTAATGAGCAGCAAATCTGGACTCGGTTAGTACTACACTTATCAGACCGTTTTCAGGTTTTTGTATAATACATACCTTTAGGGCTGGGGTTGTACTCAGTGGTAGAGCGCCTGCCTGGCACATGCGAGGCACTGGGTTGGATCCTCAGCACCACACAAAAATAAAATAAAGGTATTGTGCCCGTCTGCAACTAAAGAAACATTTTTAAAGTATATATACTTATGCATCAACAAAAAGGAAAAATTGAGAGTAAGTCTGACAATCATGACTGGCAATTGCTTATCTTCCTAACTATAAGAATTCACCATCCTTATGAAAATCTCACAGTAAGTAGTCAAAAAATGGAGACAGTGTATCAAGTGGTAAAAAACTCAGACTAGCCAGGAATTACAGAAATACAGATGAAGACAATTAAAATACTTTTTAAAGTAGCATCAAATACGTTGAATTTTGCAATGATTTCTTGGATGTGACACCAAAAGTACAGGCCACAAAAGTAAAACTCAAGTAAGGTAAATCTGATCACTTCAAAACTAAAAAGTTCTGTGCTGGGGTGTGGCTCAGCAGCAGAGCCCCGTGTTTAGACGAGGAGGTCCTGGGTTTCCTCCCCAGCACCACAAAACAAACTAAAAACAGCTGTGCATCAGAGGGCTCACAAAAAGGCAATACTATGGAATGAAAGAAAATATTTGCAGATCACACAGCTGATAGGGGGTTAATACCTGGAATACACAGATAATTCTGGCAAGTCATCAATTATAATATCTCAAATTTTTAAAATGGACAGTACTTGAATAGACATTTCTTCAAATAAGATAAATGGCCAATTAGCAAATGAAATGAAGCTCACATTACTAACCATTAGGGAAATACAAATCAAAAGCACAATAAAGTACGACCTCACATGCATTTACTGAAATAACCGAAAGCAGGATCTTGAAGAAAAACTTGCACCCCACGTCCACAGCAGCCTTATTCTCAATAGCCAAAGAAAGACATAGCCAGCCGAGTGAACAAACAGAACAGGAGATGCGCACAGACATCACCCAGCTTCTTAAATAGGACATTCTCACACACGTTGCACACGTTCTGGACGAATCCTGAGCCCACTGTGCCAAGTGAGATAAACCAACCACAAAAGACAAACACCGAGTTCCTGCAGGAGGAATCTACAGTGGTCAAGCTCAGAAAGAATGGCTGTTGCCAGTACTGTGGGGAAGAGGGAGTGGCGAGTTTCGTGTTGCTTTCTGAGTACAGAATTTCCATTTTTTGCAGGATGAGAAAGTTCTGGACATTGTAACTGCCCAACTCTATTACACTTAATATATCATCTGTACACTTAAAAATCGTTAAGGCAATATATTTTGTTATGTTCATTTTACAGCAAAAATTTTTTAAGGTAGCAATCAATATAAAATTTTAAAAACCTGATGTTGGCAACTATGTAAGGAAACAGACATGCTGACAAGAGAAAGGGTGAAGAGTGTTGTAAAGCCACATCACCAAGGACCAGGCTGCACCACTCTGGAGAAGACGACACATGTACAACAAATTTGTGGAAATGCCAATGGCAGCACAGTTTAAATCAGTCAAAACACTGTTTACCAGCCTGGGAGACTGGTAAACATCATACAGGATAAGAACACAGGAGAAAAGAATTCATTTGCTCTTTTATGATGCTGAGGTCATGGAATTCTTTGACAAGCTGACAGGCCTCTCTGCTACTCCATTATCCCTCTGATTCCAGAGAGAAGGAAGCTCTCCACAAAAACTCTACTTAGAGGTTTAAATGTAAAAATGAAACCACTCAATTGTCACAGGAAAATCAGATTAATATTTATATACTCACGGTAGAACAGATCTAAGCATAACAAGTGCAGAAATCACAGTGATTTGATTAACCTCAGAAATTTTTTTTATATCTGAAATAAAAGTCAATCTAGTAACCAGAACTTTTTTGGTACCAAACAAAAGATCATCGATATCTTTAATATGTAAACAGTATTTACAAAACAACTAACAGGAAAACAAGTGCTTGAAGAATGGTCACTCTTCAAGTGGTCACTCACACACTGCCAAAGGCCAGTCAACATGTGAGAAAGGTTCAATTTCACTAACAGGCAGAACAACACTCATGTCCAAAGGTAACATAATCTGGATCCACCCAAGCAGCAAAGGTTTTTAGTACCATAAATGCACTCTGTGGAGGAGTTGGTTTCCGGCTGTGAGAACACTGATTTAGAAAATGCCTCCCTGGAGGGCAACTCAGCAACATGAACCTAAAGTTTTAAGAAGTATAGTAACAGTCATTCCCTTCTAGATATGTATTCATCTTGGATAAGTAACAACAGATGTGATAGAGTTTGATTTACATGGAACATCATCAAAACTTTTTTATTTCCTGAGTGGAATAAAACAAAACCCCGGGACGTAATCTGTAATCTATAAGGTCATCTAAATGAGATTGTTTAAGTTAATACAGCCTTGCAAGAACCAGAACATTGTCAACAATGAAAACGATGCTTCAAACGACTCCAGGTCCACTACAAATAAAGGAAAGAGTCAAACAGAATTCATATATAATCCCATTTTTGAATAAAACACAGATATCTGATGCATAAAGACAACATAAAAAGATAAACAAAAACCCAGATGCAAATACACCAGTAACACCTGTTAACTGAAGATTTTCAATTTGTTTTTTGCCAACTTTATGGTAAATCCTTTTGATGTGCGAACAGCGAGTCAGGAATAGGGAAGGTGCAGGCCAAGGTCAGAGGCCCCAGTAGGCAGGGCGGAGGACACCCTTTGCTTCCCCTTGCTCTTCTGCACCTGGTATGTACTGTATTTAAAACACTCCACAGGTATCTGTGCACCTGTTTTAGCGTCTCCTCCTGTGACACAATCCCACACCACAGTGAGCACCAGGCAGGCCAGAGGCTAGCCTTCCTCCGCACCTGGCATTAGAGGTCCTTGCAGTCCCTCAGGATCAATAAGACCAACAGAGGGTGGCCAACAGGGTGGTGTTGGGGGCAGTGACTGTCTCCCCTTTTGTAACAGGCCACTTCTGGGGGGGGGGGCTCCAGCCTTGGCGCCCAGGACTCAGTCCATACCTGCCCTCAGGCTACTTTTATTTATAAAAGAACTTCAAGTTCAACTTTGCTATTTGTAGACACCACTATTGCTCACAGCAGTGGCCCCCACTGGCAGTGCCAAGAGACCAGACGGAAGGCCTTCTAGTGGCACATTGCCTTTCTCTCCTGGGGGTTCTCAGTAGTGCTCAAGGGAGGGGTCACCAAGAGACCCTCAGGAACTAGGTAGACAGTGGCTGAACTGTAGCTCTCAACTCCCTGTGATCTGGTCCCAGCTTTCCTCTCCCTCCCTTGGACACTTCCTCAGGGAAGGCCAGTGGAGTTCCATTCCAACTATTCTAAGCTGGTACACAGGACAGCACAGAAAAATACAAGTGTCAGGATGAGTCACTGCTACCACTTCCCCACCCAGGATGCAGATCAGTTTACATGACACACACTCAAGATTCCTCCCCACCCATCAGAAAGCCTTGCTGGCTCAATAGAGCACTCACATAAGCCCAAACTTTTTAGTCATGTACCAAAAGAGAACATGAGAATTATGTGCTTCAACAGATACGTGCCAGCCTCCCAAAGAATGCAAACTGAATAAACACTTATTACATGTCCATTTTATTCTTATTTACAATGTTTTCCCCAAACAAAATAGATGTCATTTGAAAATATGACCAGAGAATGTTCTAGATTATAGTACTTTAGTACTCTCCCACCTACACACTCATCTTCATGTGGTTCAGGATCACATTTGCACAAACATTACCAGCTCTCAACAGTGCACACCCCTCCTCCTGAGGCACCAGTTTGTACTCAGGACGTACCAGTTCCCTTTCAATGAAGATTACATTTGGAGCTAACCAGTGAACATGAATCTAGGCCTCAGTCTACAATCTGAGGACAGGGACACATCCACCTTCAGAGGTGACAGGACAGTCGGGCAACATAACAGCAATAAGACCATTCTAAGGAGTTTGGAACTCAAACCTTTATTTGTGCTGTAAAGGGGAAGAAAAATGGTTAGAAACCACACACAGAACAGAACAGCGCGTGCCTTACAAACAAGTACTTTAACCACCTGTTTTTACAGCTTTCATTACACAACAGCATACCCAGAAATATTTCCCCACAAGCATGACTAATACACTTTAAGTTCCAATGACAGTAACTGTATCACACCCAAGTCACCAACTAAGAATTGAATTACCACACCAATGTATTTTTAAGCATAAAAAAAAAAGGAACCCAGAACACAGGAAAAGTCCTAAGGATAAAAGGTATTGGATATTTTAAAGTGTTCAAATTTAGAGGAAAAACAGGATAAAGCCCATTGGAGTTACTCTTATCAATTCAACAAAATCAGCTCAGAAGCAAATCAAAGTTTCACAGAAGCTCTTACAGCCTGCCTGTTAAGCTGGCCCCTTCTGCCCAGTTTGCTTTTATTTCCTAAACTGGTTTTGATTGACATTCCCCCCCCCCAGTCCTGGATCATTTAAACTGAAAATACAATAGATTATTCACTAATAATTCTGATTGCTACCAAATATAGTAATTTCACTGTAACCACAAAAGGTTTTCCTTGTTACAATGACTGATTTCAAGACTATAGTTAAGTAAGCAAAACTTTTGCTATTATGGTTTTGACCAAACACAGAAAAATCTATAAGGCACTTCTTATGAAATTCCCTTAAAAATCATTTAATCTCCACCCTCTCCAAAAGCATTTCCATTTGTCTCACTATAGTAACAATTCGCGACCATGAGGCATTGGGTGACTTCTGGAACCATTGCTGCAGCCCCACCCAGAAGAGCACATTCAATCCCCACCCTCTCCAAAAGCATTTCCATTTTGTTCAGAATTTTGAATCACTGAGATCTCCATGACAAAATATGAATTACAAACCCAGAAAAGTCCATGTTAATCTCATCGTAAGTGTATACTTAAAATGTTTAAAAACTCATAGTTTTGACACCAAGTTCCATGTCATTTTTCAAGTAACTAAATATTCTTGTTTTCAGTTATACCTTCTCAGTCTTTCCCACTTTAGAGCAAAACAATTTTGCTTTTTTTTTCTTGAACTTTCCTTGAAGTTCTAAGCACTTTTATAAAAATTTCCAAGCAACTTTCACTGCTTATATGCAACCATTTAACCAATAATTTACCATTAACTAGTGTTTTCTCCACTCACAAATTCTATGAAATTTCTCAGATCTCTGCCCATACTTTTCTTTCCAGAGACTTCCTCTCAACCCACATCCCACACCCTCATGCTCCCAGCACTGCATCCCCACCAGCCCTTGCCCCCCTGTCCCGCCCCCAGAGGAATAATACTACTGAGATGTTAAAAAAAAAGGAGAGGGGGAAATCAAATAACTGGGCTGGGGTTGTCGCTCAATGGCGGAGCATTTGCCTAAAATGCCCAAGGCCCTGTTCAATCTGCAGCACCAGAAAACAAAACACCCATGACCCACCCACTACTGGTGGGCCTACCATTCCCTTCTGGAAAGGTTCTATGCCATTAGAATGGCCAGACAAGACCCCCTACCAACACACAGCTCCTGGGCATGACCGGCTTGTCCCCTCCCACTTTAGCTCAACACATGAGCCCCCACAGTTTGATAATCTAACAAATTCTCTCTGCCTAAAGCATTTAAAATTGAACAGCTCCGGCCCCCCAACAATCAAAAGCTTTATCATCACACTAAGAATTCCTCGGCCAATGTGCAGACAGGAAGGCAGGTAAGCAGGCGAGTAGGTGAGAGGTCCCTGGGCTCCATCTCCAAGTGCCATCTAAAAGGCATCGGGCTGGTTGTTGGATCAACTTTAAAATGTTCTATAACTTAAGAATCTTCTGGAAGGAAAGTTCATAGCACAGAACTAGAAGGACCAGAGGCTCAATTTAGAAGATGCAGCATCTGAAAACTACCCCCAGGACAAGAGGGGTGCCTGCTGGCATTCCTGTGCCTGGAGGATGATGCTGCTGGAACATTCAAAGATGAAGGCCCCTCAAGCTGATGCATCTGCTTTGGACTTGTGAACTGCCCCCCACAAGCTCATCTGAAAACCTTAACGGTTGGCCTCCTGAGCAAGGCCTGGATACAAGGCACTGGAGAACTGCTCCTCCTCCTAAGCCTCTGGAATTCAATCTGCAGGCATCAACTTAAGCGGGCTGTCTCCTTCAGGGTCTCCCCTCCTGCACTGCTACGACTCACACTGGCTGGGGCTCCATTTGTCCTGGTGCCATCTGCTCGCCATGATGAACACTACAGTAACAAACCAGGTCCATGAGGCATTGGGTGACTTCTGCTGGAAACACTGCTGCAGCCCCACCCAGGGGAGCACATTCAATCCCCACCCTCTCCAAAAGCAACACCAACCCACCCCCCCAGAGGCTCCACCGGGAAGGCCTTTCCTTCTGCACCATTACCAACAATACCGAGTCCAAGAACACTCCTGCGACTTCACCAGGCTTACCAGACGACCAGAGGCAAGGTTTTAAGTGAAGGGATAACCTCAAGAGAGTTAGAGGGAGGAGGAGGGGTAGAGTGAGCTCACAGAAGAGTTTAGCATCGAACTTAGGGAAATCCAGAGGGGAGGGTACTGCCACCTGGAAAATAAAGGGTTGGTCAATATTGTCCCCAAACAAAAGCAGCCTGCCTCAGCAGCCCCCAGTAACAGTTGGCAATGGCACATTGGATCGTGATCACTCCACAGGCCACCCTTCACCTCCTGGGCTCCACCAGGTGAGCCCTGTTTACATACCACCCTGGCCCAGAGCTGTCAGGCCCGCGAAGCCAAGTCCAGTTTCCTTAAGACCAGGCCTCATCCCCAGGCAGGTTCACAACCCTTTGTCTGGAAAAAAACGGGGGCTGCTGGTATTGACAAGTTTCAAGTCGGCCCTCCCCGCCCAGCTGCGGGCCTGCCTGCCAACGACCGACCACCGCCTAGGCCGGTCTCCACCTCTTCCCGCCTCAGCCTGCCTTCCTCCTCCACGTTAACCAGGCCACTGGGGCCAGCTAGGCCCACGGAAGGACCTCGGCCTCCTGGAAGTCCAATCCCCCCTCCAGCAGCAGTAGCAGAAGGCACAGCGAGGCCCGAGAGCTGCTGCGGCCTCGTGGGGTGCTGTGGGCCTTCGCGCTGCAGAGCCCCCCACATCTAAGCTCCTTTTCAGCCCTCCTTCCCCACGCACCCCCACCCCCACCCCCTCTAGCTCTGCCATCTCCTGCCTGTGTCCCCTGAGACCCTGAACTGGTCACTTCCGCCCCACCACTACACCCAGGCGCCAGCCCTGCCTGTCGCTAACTCCTGCTGGATGGGCCACAACTTTTGCTTTTATAGTCCCGGGTCGCGTCACGAGACACTACTCAACGGGACGATTCCTCCACTGACACCGGAAAAAAAGTCCCTCCCCACCCCGCCCAAGAAGCCAACCAGGGGCGGTTCACGGTCTCCCTTTGGTGGCCTCTCCCTTTGGTGGCCACTCCCTAATTATCCCTCCTTCTTGGGACAGAGCCCAACGTCACATTTGGGAGGCAGTGGCCGCGGGGAGAAGTCCCTTCCTCAGGTGGGGCGGGGGGGAGGTCCGTTCAGGGGCCGCGCTTCGGAGCCCACCGAGGGAGTTGCGGGGTCGCCTAGGGTCACCCCGCCCAGCAGAGGCCCGAAAGAAGGGCCGGCAGAGCGTCTGGAGAATTCCAGGGGCGGCGGAGGGATCTCTGCGGCGGCGCAGCACTGTCCCGGCGGCAGCGCGTGACTCCTGGGCGGCGCCGCCGCGTGCTCGGCCGGTGACGTCAGCGTCCCGGAGCTCGCGGTGGGGGCGGGGACGCCCCGGAGGACGCGACCCCCTCGAGGGAAACGCGGTGTCCTGCACAGCGGACTGTACCGGCCGCGCGCGTGGCCGAGACGCCCTGCTTTGTTGCTTAAGTGGCAGAGGGCGAGTGGGTGCAGCCGTGTCCCTGGTCCTGGCCCTGCGGGTCAGCAGGGACCCGGGGAGTTGAAGCATTTCCTAACAGCAGTTAATTAGGCCGCTGGGTAGAATATTTAGCGAGATAAGTGAGTGACGTATTAATGGCAAAAGTTTATGCAGAAAACAATATGGGCAGTTGTAGGGCCCGAGACCAGGTGGGTGTAGGTTTAAAACTCACTTTGCTTTTGGGGTGAAGAGTTGGGGGAGAAAAGTGATTCAAACAAACCAACCAAAAACCTCAGCACTGGTCCGGGACAGCTTGTGGCTTGTGATGGGCCCCAAGGAGTGGGTCTAGTGGCTTCTGGAGGCACCGGGCCGGCTGCCTACCAGACATGGATGCCAGCCTGCCAAAAGCAACCTAGTCAAAAGGCTGGCAGGGCTAAGGATTTTCTGAGGGTTTTGAGAAGAATAGTTGGCCTTCCAGTACCTTATGGGGCCAGGGGGAGGAGGAGGCCGAGAAGACCCCCATGGGGCACCTATTGGTTCAAGGCCCACCCCTGAAGTAGGTGGTAGAAAGAGTCTCATCGGGCAGAATTACTGCCAGGAAGTCTCCTCCCAGGCCAACCGCCCACACCCCAAACAAACCACCCTGTGACAACAGGCTCCCTTGACAACGAAGGGAGGAATCCAGATAGAAATTTTCCCCTGCCTCTGCAAGATGGCATTTGCAGGCAGGGTGGAGCTCGGCTGCACCCCTCCCCTGCTTCTGGGAAAACTGGTGACTCATTCTCTTGTGACTGTCAACACAGAAGGCTGAGTATGTGGCAAGCCCAGGCTTGTTGGCTGGTGGCTTATCCATGGAGAGTCCCCAGGCTCTGCTTGCCTTTCTCCAGGTTATGCCCATCAGTCTTGCCCTGGCATCCTTCCCAGGGGTGGGTGACTTGGCCTAAAAGAACATTCTGACATTCCTGTCAGAATGTTCTAGAAAGCTGAGAGGTGTGTGTGAAACCAAGAAAGTGACATCACCCTGCTGCTTCCCAGTACCAGGCTGTGGCATCAGCTCTTACCGGCTAGCATCTGAGAGATGCATAGTCACTACTGTTGGCTGCTTCCAGGGCCCAAGTTGATGTCTTGTTTTTCTCTGTTTCTCTTCTCAAAACTCTCCCTGGTTCATACACATTGTTCCCAAATCCCAGACACTAGCTTTCTTAGACTTTTCCAAAGAGTAGGAGGAGGGTAACTGGCAATGCTCAAAGCCCAGGCCCCTCCACGCAGTATTAGGCTCCTTTGTGCCCTCTCCTCTGGAGCTGCCCCAGCCACCCTCTTCCAAGGACAAAGTGACACAGTTTCAGAGTTGGTGTTTGGAAACTGTCCAGGCCAACTAGTTCTACGCAGCTCATTTTCCTCAGAAAAGGAATGTGTCTGAGGAGAGGTGAGTGGAAGCTTCAAAACCACACAGAGGTGCCCTGTCCTGCCTTGGGGTCACAGGGCTGTGCCCACAGTATGGTGATGTTACCGCTGTTGACCAGTGACGAGTTCTTGCTTCCCCTGATGCTGAAGAATAACACCAAAGAAGCACGCCGAGGAAAGGTCAGTAGAAATTAGAAGTTTATTAAAGGACAGCAGAAAAGACTTCTCCCGGAGGAAGAAGGGGACCCAAGAGGTGGAATCCGCGGAAGTGTGGTTGTCTCCCCTTTTTATAGTTCTTTCAGTGATGGAATGTAGGTGGGAAGGCCCGAGGGGTGGGACACAGGTGGGCCAAAGAAGTAGTCTGAGCAGGAAGGACTTCATTAACACTTCTTTGGGATGGGCTATCTTCAAATCTGCTGGGGGCTATTCATTAATACTTCTTCCTGGTGGATTTGGCCTAGGGCCTTTTTGGGACTTCATTAACATTCCATGAATTGTCCTGTTTCCCTGAGTCATTCTCAGCATGGTCTCCATTTTAGATTTCACTGGATATTAGACCCGATTTACCTAACTACACTGGCTACCTAATTTTAAATCTGGCTTCAGTGGGCCTGTGTTCTTTATTCCTCTACTATGAGGCTAAAAATACCTCCACCCTGATGCAGGAGGGAGGAGGGGTAGCCAGTGCGTCAGCAGATCTCTGTAGATCAAAACAAGCTGTTTCAGAAAACTGCCCTAAACAGAACCTCAGGCCCCTGGGTGGGGCTGAGTGGTGAGGGCCCTCTCTGCCTGGGGGGGGGTGGCCACAGTTTACCCACCCAGGCAGCTGGTTTAGGGGCTCTGGGTTGGAGGGGAAAGGATAGGGGTGGGGGACTTTGCAACATCCACATTCCAGGGTCAGAGTCCCCTCTCCAAGACCTTGGCCACAGAGGATAAAGGTCAGAGGCCTCCCTCGGGACACCTACCACTCTTGTTCTGAAGACAGCTCAGCTCTTGTTTCTGAACATGTCCACACCAGCCCAGGGAGAGACCCTGGTATTTTCCACAAGAACCCCTGGAAAAGACAAGAGGGTTCAGAAAGGACGGGGCTTCCGATTTACTCCAAGGGCAGGACCATGACAGTGTTGCTGCTGCTACTTGAGAATGTGCCAGAACTTCAGCCCCCATCCTCCAAGGATCCAGTTTGGGAGCTGTGGCCTTCTGGGTCACCTTGGGCTCCTCATGGTGCCAGAGCCCCTCACCCTTTCCTGCTGAGCCCCGAGACACCTTGACTCAGTCTGCATCAGGAAACTGCACAGTCACCTTGTGCTGGCCAGGAGCCTTCCTGTCACTGCCTTGCCTCACCCTGCCTTGAAATAGCCCCAGTGGAAAACAACGCCACACCCCGGGCCTCTTCTGGGCTGCCCCCCCCCCTCAGGTGATCAAGGGCAGGCTCTGGATGCTCACAGCTGGCTGACCCCATTTCATTATTCTGATGCATATTGTTTTGCCTGGGTCACAAGCCTGGGCCCTGAGGTTACCTCTCAACTCTGACCAACACCCCTCCTCCAGAACTTGATCTCCTGAGGGGAGGGGTTTGCGTGGGGTGTGTTGACATCTCTGTGTCCCCAGGGTCCTGCCCTGTAGCAGGCCTTGGTGAAAGTAGGACTTTACAGTTGACATTCTGTAAAGGTCACTCTGACCACTGCAAGGCTCCAGATAAATATTTGTAGAGTGACTGAAGGCAGGAGGCTGTTTCCAGGTCACCTGTGCTCCATAAATGCAAAGGCACAGAAGAAGGAAGAGGGCAGCATGGGAACTGAGAACACATGGGTGGCCAGGGGACTCAGGGCAGCCTCTCTTCACTGGTGGCAGAAGGTATTGAGGGAGAGGGCATCAAATGGAGGCAGAAGCTCTTGTCCTTGTTTGCAAAGTAGACTGGATGCACTGGCCTGTCTGCCGCCTCCCCCCACCCCCCAGGTACTGGGGCTTGAACCCGAGACACTCTGCCACTGAGCTAATCTCCAACCTTTTTAATTTTGAGACAAGCCCTCATTGAATTGCCCAAGATGGCCTCAGGCTTGCAATCCTCCTGCCGTGGCCTTCAGAGTCGCTGGAATTACAGGTGTCACCCCCGTGTTCGGATTTGACCATCTTACCTGTGGGCACCTGGTTCCCGAGACCCTTTCTTGGCCACTGAGGGGGCAGATCTGAAGGGGGCTTCTTTTTTTTTTTTTTTTTTTTTTTTCTTTAAAGAGAGAGTGAGAGAGGCGGGGAGAGAGAGAGAGAGAGAGAATTTTTAATATTTATTTTTTAGTTCTCGGCGGACACAACATCTTTGTTGGTATGTGGTGCTGAGGATCGAACCCGGGCCGCACGCATGCCAGGTGAGCGCGCTACCACTGAAGGGGGCTTCTTTAGACTTTATGGAGAAGCAACTTTTTTTTTTTTTTTTTTTGATCCTGGGGATTGAACCCAGGAGTGCTGCGGTTCATTCCCCAGCACCATTTCAAAATGGCATTTTAAGGCAGGATCTCACTAAATTGCCCAGGCTGGCCTTGAACCTATGATCCTCCTCTTCCACTTCCTGAGAAGCTGAGATGACAGGCCAGTACCACGGAGCCCAGCAAGTCCCAACTTTTCTATACCACCCACATTGCACTGTGTCCTCTCTTTCCAGCCTCCTCCCCAAATCACCCACCAGGAATCCCGGGAGGGTGCCCCAGGACATCCTGCCAGCTCCCACCTCTAGGTTTGCAAAGCCCCCAAGAAAACCTCTCCTTTTTCCGTGACCCCTGGCAGTCCTCCTTTCCACATGGGTGACTCTTGATAGGAACCTTTAGGCCAGGACCTAACTGCCCTAACAGTGACTCCACTGGAGCAGTAGACTGTCCTTGAACCTCTCTGCAGGATCCTTTCTGCCCCCCCCCCATTGGTCTAACTGGGCACAGCCTGTGAGCAAGTCTTTCCTTGGGGACAGAGTTCTGGGGGTAAAGTGGGAACACTGTGGGGCTGCTGACCTTGACATTGTGTGGGAGGCCTGTGCTCACTGGCTCAGAGTATCAGCACTTACTGCCAACCCCACCAAATAATTAAGGTTGCATGGCAGGGGACATAGAAGTCTAGAAAAGAGCCGGGACTATTATGTCCCTGTTGTAAGTTATATTTGTGTGAAATTGTTTAAAATGCAGGCTGGGAATGTAGCTCAGTGGTAGAACGCTAGCCTAGCATTCTCAAGGCCACCAAAGAGAGAGAAAGAAATAGGTGGAAGTT